TGACAACTTGTAGTGCCCTTTCAATTCAACAAAATGGGTGTAATTTTTGCAGGTGTGAGCCAGTCCTTTTGAATGTCCATCTGCCTTTAGTACTCATAGGAAACCGGGTTTATGGGGTTTTATCTAGTACCTTTGATGTTTTTATCTCATTCTAGTGAGTTTTGCTAGCAGATTGTTAAATAAGTAAATATAATCCTGAGAGTTTAATGTCCTAAGGTAATGAGAATTATGTGCAAGTCACACAAAAAAATCTATGTTTAAGTAAGGAACAAAAACTGAAATTTTCAGAGTAAGTATGAGTTTGTAATGGATGAAATCCTAATGTAATTTCAATGGTTGCTATTTGAAAATAGGAAAAAAGCTTTGGCTGAGGAACTGTGTTCTTCATATGCATGTAATTCTAAAGAATTAACTGTGCAGATCTATTAAACTTTCAGCATGTAGCAAAGTCACCCACTTGAATATTTAGGTACCATTTTATACCAAAGCTGAAGCCAATTTAAAGGCTAGTGCTGTCAAGACATCAGACAGGATAATGAGTACTTCAAAATGTCACCACAAACTTAGTTTAATGTAAAGATTATCAAGAAATGTCATGTCTTCAAAATGAACAGAACCAAAGCTTTGACGCAGAGCATACAGGATAAGAAAATTTTTCTTTTAAAGGAGTAAATTTCTGCTGAATTAATAAAGGGCTACTGAAAAGTTTTAGGTGGTTTTTCAAGATAAATAAAAAGGACTGAATGAGAAAATCTATAGGCTGGTTATAAAGAAAGAAAAAAAAATCCCCATAAGAATTATAGGATAACACAAAGAGAAACTGAGCTGAAAAAAAGTTTGAATACCCCCATTTTTATTTTTTTAAATTCATCAGGAGAACTTGTTAAATGATTTTTTGGATAATTTTGAAAAAAGTGTGATATGAAAAAGGAGGTTGGATCTAAAATCTAAAAATTGTATAATTATTATAATTGGCATAATGGATAACAGAGGAGGCAGGAGACAATTTTAGATTAAATTATTCTCAGGATGGCAATAATATTTCAGGTCTGTATTTCTAGGAGTTTCTGTATTTACATATTTAACTAGTTAGAATGGGAAAATAGTAAGCTGCATTTTAGGATTTGCATTGCCTAATAAAGCAGCTGGTTCCTTAGATAAGTGTTGGCAGAAGATTACATTTTACTTTAGCTCCTCTTCAACAAAAATGAAAAATACATCGTACATCCAATGCCAGAACTCTATATTGAAGTATATAAGCTATTTCAAAACAAAGCAATGTTAAAGAAGAAAGACAAAAGAAGTAATAGGTTTGTGCATTGGCGTATATACAGTCTGAAAAATTAGATTTATATGATAACATTGGTAGGAAAATTCTATCAGACAATAACCCACATTTATGTTTTCAATAAATTTAACAAAGATGACTTTGGTTATGTCTGCTGAGAATATTTTCAACTGCAAAAATTTTAGGGAAAATGTAGTGAAAGCTCAATTTTGATCTTGAAGATCACAACAAAATCTAGGCCAAATGGCTGCAAATACAACTGTGGTAGGTTCAAACTGGAAATGACAACTTCATGAGTAATTAGACACTGGAAACATTTATTGAGAGTTGCAGTACATTAGCACAAGCAATTATTAGATTAGCATGGTCTAGGCTTTTAAAAGTATTAGTTTTCATTCAACCAAAGCTCCCTGTATTCACTGGCAGAAAAGTTTGTATTTTATGATAGAAAATCAGTTTAAACTATTATATTGGGCCTTCTGGCTTTAAAATCTATGATCCAGACCAAAATCATTTGCAAAATAACTGTTCATATGAAATCAATGTATTTTAAAGTTATTCTTAATTTGTACCGGATACTTTAAGGCAGAAATTTTCATGCATTTTTATCCACAGAGAATACTTATGCAATTTATTTAATAAATGTAATGTTCTTTTTTGTAATAAGAATTTGGAAACAGCAATGAAATCGCCAGCGTTTGATCAGCTCACCCCACATGGCTGACTTTTGAATATCACTGTGTCATATTACCGAACAAATAAATTTCCTTGAAATTAAGTACACCATGTGTTTCCCATAATGTAAGAAACCCTATGTGGCAAGGTTATCCATAAGTAAGCAATGAATAAAGAAATTTTTTGTGTTCTTGTTTTTTTTTTTTTCTGAATTATTTTGTGCTAAAATTAACACCAGCATTTTTGAAAACCTATGTCAAGTCTTGTGAGGAATTAACTTTCATGCAGGTTTTCACAATTATTTTTGTCTCTAAGAATTAATGGCATACAAATTTTATATTAATTTTGTTCAGGTAGCTATTTTCTAGTGATACATTTAGAACAGCACAGTCCTGGACACTGAACGTGCCCCATGTATATAAATGGAATTTAGAGCTGCATTGCTGGTTTTTTTCATTGATGCTTGTCTTAGCAAGCTCAGGGGATCCCTCCACGGATGTCTGTTCCAAACTTTGAGGATGGGATCCACAAAAACCCTGTTCAACATCCTGGGGATCACCACCCTCAGCAAGACAAATCACTGTGATGGATGGCCTCAAAAACTGGCATTTTCCAGGACATGAATCCCTGACTGTGAGCTGCAGGGAGTCACTTTATTGGGGTGAAAAATCTGTGGTTTTTTCTGCTGGAAATATGGAATAATAGAGTGGTTTGGGTTGAAAGGGACCTTAAAGATCATTTAGTTCCAAGCCCCTTGCTGTGGACAGGGACATATTACACAAGATCAGGTTACTCAAAGTCCCATCCAGCCTGGCTTTGAACACTTCCAGTGATTGGGCATGCACAACTTCTCTGGGCAGCCTGTGCCAGTGCCTCACCACCCTCACAGTAAAGAATTTCTTCCTAATATCTAATCTAAACTTTCTCTCTGTTAGTTTAAAGCCATTCCCCCTTGTCCCCACTACATGCCCTTGTAAAAAGCCCCTCTCTCTATGTCTCTTGTAGGCCCTTTACACACTGGAGAGATCCTATAAGGTCTCCCTGGAGCCTTTTTTTTTCCAGCATGAACCACCACACCTCTCTCAATCTGTTTCATTAGGAGAGATGTTCCAGCCCTCTGATCATATCTATGACCTCCTCTGACCCTGCTCCAACATGTCCATGCCCTTCTTACATTGTGTCCAAAGCGGGACATGGTACTTTAAATTGGACTAAAGGTGAAGAATCACCTTCTTTGACCTGCTGGTTCTGCTTTTTTTGATGCAGCCAAGGCCCTTAATTTCAAATCACAAGTGGAAAAGGAGAAAAGGGTGTCAAGTGTCTGCTCACACTTGAAGTTATGGTCTTCTCCTAAAAGATGGGTTCAAACCTTTCCCAAGAGAGGATCAGTCTGATTCTTGGCTCACTTCATCCCAGGCACTACTCTGTTGGATATCCCTCTGCTGAGCTACGGAAAAAACATCATTATTTGGATGGCGGGAACAGCAATCCTGTGAGAAATTATGTCAAAATATATAGTGCATGGAAACTTGAGCACATTTTATTATGGGTTTGTGGCATTTTTGACTGTCATTATTTGTCCATATATAGAGATGGAAAAAGACTGTGTGAACTTAATTTATCAACAACTGACTTGAAAAAAAAATATTGAAAATATTTCACACTTTTAAATCCCGTGAGGTGTAAAGATGTTTTTCTTTCCTTTTTGCTACATTTCACTACAACTCTCATCTCATATAACTTGCCAGTGCCCTAGTGACCTAGCCTGCATTTTGGTTAAAATGTCCATTTACCCAGAAATAAGCTGGTTATGTATACAAGCAGGTAATATGTGGGTTACACTGTACTTGTAAATATATTTATACTGTAACTTGTGCTTTTGGACTTATATTCTTTGGTGTAGTCCTGCAATTGATTGAATTATATCACAGGTAACTGTGGCTATTGAAAAATAAAATAATTGCTTTTCTTGAGGAGAAGAAAGAACTGAAAATGTTGTGAGAAATATGTTCTTTAATATAAATCTTAAATTATGTCTTTCTTTCCAAGGTAGAAAAGCATGCAAGTACTTACCAAACCCTAATAATGAGCTTATGATTTGCATGTTAAACAGATGAACTCTCTAAAGTCTCCAAATTATATATTTTGAAAATGGGTATAAGTGGTGATTTATTTCATAGTTAAAAGTAATTATGGACAATGTTTTCCTTAGAAAGTGTAAATTCCTGTAACTATTTTTGTGTTTGTCTGTTTTTTGCATGTGTGTGCTTGATTTTAATTGATTTTCATTACAGAACACTGTATCTCCATTGTATATTATTGATTTTCCTTTATCCTTTTTGTTTCTGTTTTGGAGTATTATGACATGAGATGTCTCCATGTCTACAGTATATGCAGTGTGGCAAGTAGCATCAAATTTTGTGGCCTGTTATTCAGAAGATTAAAAAATTCTAGATGTACTAGAAATCTGTATTTAGTGTAAGGTAGGAGATAAATAGAATTAAATACTCAACTCAGGGTGAAAGTCCCTTACAAGGAGAACAATCTGGACATAACCTCAAAAATTATAATTTTACTGAATGTTTCTCATGGAATAATGCTTCCAAACTATCTGATGCCAGTAAAGTTATTATCTGTTTCAGATCTGAGTGTGCTCAAAAGATAGTCCAGAACTTCACTGAGTATGGATGTTCATGGTGAAGGCAGTTAATGGGAATATGCTTATTATTGACAAAGGGAAGCATCTATGATATTAGCAGCTCACTGATATGATTAAATTTTCTTAGGAAATCTGAGGAAAGAGCAGTTTGGAGTTGTAGATATATATTATAGTTCAGATATCTCACTGAAATTGCCAAAATTCATTGAAATGTTAAGATTTAAGAACAAATTGAAAATATCCAAAAGAATGATGGATTAATGACTTTTTTTTAATGAATGGTGCATTTGTAACTGGACAATCAATTTTGTAGTTGCCTCATCACAGAGACATCTCTGACACTGGAACTTTTTAAAAATTTTTTTGTTTTTTTGGTAGGGCTGAAGTGACAGTGCTAAGCTGAAAAACTTTATAAACATCAATGAATATTACAAAAGATGGCCGTGCAAAAAGTTCAAGGTTCAGCACTGTTCCTCGGTGAAGTCAAATAATTTGGTTACTTTTTTTGCCCTGAGGACCGTGAGGATGATGAACATAGAAACCTGATTTCCATCATTCAAGACCTGTTCTTTTACTTCAAAGGTACTGTGCTTATATAAACTGAGTAACCTACTAGAAATATTACTTACAGGAACTGGACATCTGTGGAGAGAGAAAAAGTGCAAGTCTTTTTAACAATTTCTCTCTTTTGCAGGTTGGAAAGAAAGTGGTATTTCGAAAACTGGCTCCCATAAATGCAGTCCTGTGTGTCCCTGTCTGTTACACAACTTTCTGCATTCCCCTTAGGACATGGCTTTTTGAGAAAATTAACAATTTTTGAGGCATTTGCAGTCCGTCCTGACCTGTTTGTGCTGTACATTGGACATGCCTGCATTTGTGCCCAGTAAATCAGACCCACAGCTCTTCCCTGTGTGCATAATTCCCTCTCCATGTTAGTGGCTGAGGAAAGCTGCTGCTCCTCCCATCATAGGAGCTCCTAAAACTGCAAGATTGTGAGCGTGTCAGCGTGGTCTGCTTTCTGAGTAGGAATTGCATACCAAGCAGAAAGCAGGGAGAGGAAAAGAAAGAAACTATCTGTATTCATCAGTCCTAGGTCTCAGCAGGGCTTGGCAGGAGAGGGAGGAGGCTCGTTAGTTAATGCAGCAATTAGGCAAGACACTCCCCACAGTAAAGAGTTGCTCTCTAAACTGGATGAAGGTGCAGCCTCTGCCCAAACTCACCGGTTCTGCCAAACAACAGACTTTTCATCAGGGAGAGACTGTGTTTGGCTGACCTCTGCAATTGTAAAATGCCTATAAAAGGAAAAACATTTTATATTTCTCTGAGTCTTTGTGTGCAGATTAGCTTTCTGTCTATGGTAAAGGAAACAGGCACAGAATTCTGGAGGGGATGAAAATGGGAGGGTAAGTGAGTTGTTTTTTTACTGCTGTCATCTGAAACAAGATATTTCACTCATAGGAACTCATGCTTAATATAAGAATTATGATGATTCATTTCATTTTGCAGGCCCTCCTCCATCCAGTCTGCCAGAGACCACAGCAGCATGCAGAGAAACTGCTTGTTTCAGAAAAGGACTGGTATTTCTTTTTATTCAGCTGTGATGCTTACTTTTAACTTTATCTGTATTCTAAACAGAATGGAGAAATCTTTTAGGAGCTATGTCATGGACTGCCATAGCATAAGTGAAGGACAAAATACACATTAAAGTCAGTCATCCTTGCACTTGTTTTTCTTAATGCCTAATGAGGGATGCTGGCAGAAACAAAAATTATTGCCCCCAGGATCAGCTGGGGGCCAAATAAAAGACAGCCCCATTCTCCAGAGCACAAAGGAATAACATTTCAATAGTAAGAAAGCAAAGAGAGAAGATAACCTTATTCTATGCAACATACCATGCATGTATGTTCCCAAAAAAGGTGGTTTTCTATGCAGCTCCTGTCATGTCCTGTCTGAATTTTAGCTTCACTTATTGCTTTGAGATATGCAGTTTGAAGGCAAAGGCATACTAGGAATGCTTTTCCAGTGGTGATTCCAGAGGAGAAGATTTCTCAGACACCTATCTTGTCTTATGACACGCTCAGCTGGCGGCAGCTTGGCTTGTCAGAGTGGGGGCAGCTTGATGTGACAGCCTGCTGGCTGCCAGAGGAGGCTCTTCCCTTCCAGGGGAACGGGAGTGGCTGCAGAATGTTTAGCTGAGCATCAGTCACCTTAGGAAGGTACCTATAGAGCTGCACTAAGCAGAGCAGGAGTCTTCAAAAGCACACTTCCACAAAGAAAAATGGCCAGCAGAAGAGCTGTCTCCAGTGCATAGCATTTTTCCCCAAATCTTTCCTCTCTAAGGATAATGGTGTTTATTTGTGAAGATCTCTCTGCTGTTGCCCAGAAATAGCCCACATATGTGGAACTCCAGGACTTGCTATGAGAAAACAACCCACTTTTGGTAAGGCTTATAAGGAAAATTGAGGGCATGTGTTTTTTCTCAGTTGAAAAGTCATGGCTGTGCATTCCTACTTCTGCAGAAATTAGTTGAAAAAAATCTTACATTTTGTATAGTGCTCTAGGATTATGAAGTTATTAATCTGTTTGCTGGCAGGGTTCTCAAGGTCTGGTGTATACATTTTAAAAAACAAAATCCAACTAAATGACAAGTGATTGCTGGAGTCACTTTTTTGTAGCTGCAGTTATAATGCCCATTATGAATCACAAAGTGCTGGGTGAATAGTGAGAGGATAAGTAATTTGCTCAAAGTCACACAAGATGAAAAGCAGCCAGGCAACCTGGTCACTGTGACCTATCCTAATCTAGTCTCATTTTTATTTCTATTAAGAAGATCTGATTGCAAATTAAAGCTTTGATTGCAGCAGGAAATAGACCAAAAGCCTTTTCCCTCACCACCCTCATGACCTTGTTTGTCTTAATGTTAAAAAGAAGCAACTTTTACAGCCTCTCAGGGTGAGAGGAACCAATTCTTTGTAAAGCCATATTCCTTTCTTCTCATTCTGTGTATTCTACAATGAGAAAGGAGGAGAATTTTGGAATGCCTATACTCCTATGCAACTCTTCACAAAGGAGGAAAATGTGAACTCAAAACTTCCACTAAATGAAAATTCAACTGTTTCCCCAGCCTAGTAGAGAAGGAATGTTCTCAGTCTTTTGGATTGAGCAATGGTTGTGAGACCAAGCTTTAGTCTGGAGATAACAGGTTCTATGCTGAGTGCTGTCTCTCACTGAGGTAATAATGCCTCCCATTCAAAGATATTTCAGGGCAAGGAAGCAGAGTTTAGCAGGCCTGTATATTCAGAGTTCTTGCCACCATATTTTAACTTTAAGGATAAGTGCTGTAAATCCCCCTTTGAGACTAATGAGAACATTTAATTAAGTTATTATTATTTGGGGAGGGGGGGAAGTAGGGTGTTATCTTCTGTTAGTGTTCCAGATCATTCTTCTCCTACAGGTCACTGCTGAGGTATGGAGTTAAATATTAAAGCAAAGCTGGCCATTGGGAGAATGCAGAAAGGCAGAAGAATGTTTTATCCAAGAAGCCTAAGGATAAAATAAAGACAATTCAATGCCCTGTATAAAGTAAGAAAAGATTTGAGGAAACACAGTCTTAATGGTGATATTTGCTGTGTTTAAATATTAGGTTGTGTTTAGTGAATTCAATGGTTTCAATTTTTTTATTAATCATGGCTGGTGCTGATGTCCACATTGCTTTGACCAGAGGCAAAAGAAGTGAAAATAAGAATGTCTGAGAAATTATTAATTATTAATTATTACGTTTCCTTCCTTCCTTCCTTCCTTCCTTCCTTCCTTCCTTCCTTCCTTCCTTCCTTCCTTCCTTCCTTCCTTCCTCCCTCCCTCCCTCCCTCCCTCCCTCCCTCCCTCCCTCCCTTCCCTCCCCTCAGAGTAATTGTTTTTAGTCTGAGATAAATTTAAATAGAAACAATTTTCTTCTTCTCATTGGTTTTTAGGATTACAGTGATCAGTAACCCTGGAATTTTGCATGTAACTTTTCCTAAATCCTCCATCCAACAGAACTTCTTAAAAGTTCTTATCTATTTTGGACAAGGAAAGGGTGATCAAGCTTTGGAACAACCTCCCCAGGGAATTAGTGGAATCACCTAATCATATTCAAAAAAATGTGTAGATTCAGCACCTGGGGATGTGATTCAATGATCTTTGAGGTATTTTCTTACCTATACAATTATATGATTCTGGGTTTTTTTAATTCTATGATTTTTTTATTCTGTGATTTTTTTATTCTGTGATTTTTTTATTATAAGAGTAGGTAGGAAAAAGTTTGTTTCCCCCTTTAATCTCTATCAAATGGTTTCTCATGCACCTGTGCAACCAGAAGGAAAATTAAAATGCACATGGTGAAATTCTAGTGTTAGGGTGGCAAATGGAAAGACTTCTGTTTATTTTAACAGACAACTTTTAAACACTGCCAGGATTTTAAACAATTTATTTTTAATTTTAAAACTCCTCCCAATCCCTTCACAGCAAAAGGATATGCAGCTGAGGATGTCTTATAATATTTTTTATGTTTCCTCCTACCAAGAGTGAAAGCAGATGCTATGGTTTTATACAAATTCATGTACATCTTCCCGTTCAGAATATGGAAGAGTTAAGGACAAATGTGGTAGAAAAAAAGCTACATTTTTTTTATAGTGCTGTGATGATCTTTGTCTCTGCCTCCCACCATCCCTCCTCAGTGAGAGCAGCAAGAACACATATTGGTGTTACAGACAGTTGTTTGCCCTTTTAGCTAGCCAAAAAGAAAAGGGATTTATGTCTTCAGGAAGTCATTGTCAGGACACAGAGTGCATCCTCCTTTTAGCAGCATCTCTGGCAGCTTTAGGGAGCTGAGTGGATTGAGCACAGGGTCACCTCCTCCCAGCATGAACCATTGTGGGGCAGGTATGATGCTTCTCTCCCCAGGGGACTGCTTTTAAGCTGAAGGGATGCAGCACGAGCAGGGACCAGCTGTGCAGCAGCTGTGCCTGCATCCAGCCTCCTGCATCCTTGATGCTGAGCCTGACCTGCTGTCTTGGCTTCCCAAGGCCTCCCTCAGCACTGCGAGCTTGATGGCACAGCACTGGGCAGCACATAGCCTCAATTGCTGTCTCTGGGCCTGATATTGACCCAGACTGATTGTCTCCCATCCAGTTCTTTGGTTTTGACACTGCCTGAGTGTCAGCAAGGCTGTCTCAGCTGTGCTATATGGTTGCAGTCCCCCAAAAAAGCCTAAGAGAATGAGAGCTGGGGTCCTAAGTCTGTACAGGGAGGGATGCTATCAAGAGCCAGTTCAAGAGCTGGGATATTACTGCTGCTGCTGCTGTTCCTCAGGAAGGCACCATTAGGGTGGTAATCAAAACCAAACCTAGTCCTTCCCATCTCTCCTGCAGTGTCAGGGTCCATGTGGGTGTCACAGATCCCAGGAAACAGCCAGCAATAATGCAGCATCTTCTTTAAGGCCCAACAGCTTTGGTTGGTCTCCAGGAGCATTCAGTGGCATTTGAAACGCCGGCATGCTACAAGGAGTAGGAAAGAAACAGCAAAGTCCTTAGGAGAAAGGCTTTTAGGTGTTATTGTAATGAGGCATCTCTCATGGGACTGTTTTCCTTCTGTCTTCCTTCCTCCTACCTGTGTCCTCTCAGCATGTCTAACATTTGCGAGCTTGAGCTGAGCTGCTGGCTAATGGCTTGCACAGCCTCCCTCAGAGGTGGAATATAAAGAGACGGAAAAATGAGGATGACAGAACTGTGTAGGTGGCCATAGCAGGAGAATGCTAGAGACACATACCAGAGGCAGAAATACCTCTGGGATTCAATGAAAAAAAGAGTTTGACATTTAGTTTGTAGTTCTTGATTTAAAAAAAAAAAATTTTTTCTCTTAGTTTGAAACAACTCTGTTCATGTGTTTATTTCTATTGTACGGTAGGTCAGGATTTCTTCTCAGAGGTTATGATTGTTGCTGAATACAAGTGTTGGAAGGACAATATTCTTGCCAGTTGTATGCAGACCCTAAGGAGTATGAATTATTTTAATCTTAAAATTGATGAGATCACTCACCAATAGCTGCTGTTTCTGGGTTTGTGGGGAGGGGCGGTGACTGGCTCAGCTTTGTGTTCAGCTGTCTTTCTGCTTTTCTTACAGGGTTGGATAAACCAGTTCTGAAGCAAGAGCTGACCTACCACAGTTTTCAATGTGGTGTATTAAATGGTCACCAACTGCAGATTTCTTTGATAGTAATTCTCCAAGTGAGCTGCTGATGAACTGAACACCAGCAGATGGCTTGGAGTACAATCCATTACAGCTGCTTGAAGATAAACTATCCTTGTCCATGGCTCAGAAACTGGGTCTGGGGCTCTCTCTTCAGAGCTCCATATATGGCTTCAAAACTGCTCATGTCAGAATTATCCCGGTTGGGGGGAAAAGCTAGAGGGAGGAAGAATTTTAATGATGCACAATGTGGTGGCTGGATTTTTTTTTTTAATAACTTGTGCTATTTAATTACATTCTAGAGTTATTCTGTTAAAACAGGATCTTACTATTTTTCTTTTCTGTTCGCAGTTGGCAGCTATTGGATCAAATATGCTAAAGTTAACCAGTACTAGAAAGAATGACGGCTGGCTGTTGCCTCAGTCTACACAAAATAATCCTCTCCCCTTTATTTTGATTTCCAGGCATAATAGGATCTATCCTATTAATTCTCATTCCTCTATCAAGTGTTCAGTTGAAGAACTTACCGTTTTCAAAGAGTTAGGTCAGCTGTCCATTTTTCACAGCTAGTTGCCTCTTTCTATAAGAAAATACATTTTTTTTCCTATCCTGTGAATCATTATTTTCATTATTTCTTCTTTTTGCCTTTAAAATGCTCATCTTAATCCCATTTCCAAACTCTTACATACAATTTAGAAAAACAACCCGATTGTTTAGACTGTAAAGTTTTCATAACTTATGTTCTAACATCTGCTATGGGAAACAATGTTCAAAATACTGCTATCAGAAAAGCTTAGGCCTGTTTAGCATTCAAACATGTTCGCGCTTTTTTGAATAGAAGTTAATGATTTTTCCTCTGATATTTGCTCCAGAAATCAAATTCATCCACAAAAACTTGGATATTCCTGAAAAACACTGACAAAATGTTTCTTGCTTTATTAAAATACCTTGTCAGAGAATTTACTGGTGAATTAATAATGCTTGCAAAAAAGACCACACATACAATAGCATTATTGATCTAGTGGCAGTCGGGTGCTCTGAGTTGTGAAGGATCTGTGCATTAGCCAAAGGTTTTTTATAATAAGTAATATTTGGTGTACAGCAAGCTGTTAAAACAAAGATAATTGCATTGTTGAAACCACACCTCAGAAGAACAGTCAAGTAAGACTTCACTTAAATCTTGCAGAACAACCTTTCAAGAACACAGTGTGAGATATAAGCCTTGAGATGGTCACATGGGCTCATTTACTAAAATATATTTTCTTGCAGTTTAAGGCCAACTTATGTTACATGGCAATAGAGATATTTCAACATCCTTGACCACTGGCTTATAATTGCCAGGAAGGAAGATGTGGCTTTCATGCAAGAGCT